GCTTACGAGGATGCACAAGTTGGACACCGATGTTTACACTAGCTGCGGTTGTGTATTGCAGCTCACTCATGGACTTCCTTGTGCCTGTCTTCTCCGTAACGCAGAAGATTTCGACGCTCCGATTGATCTCGGAATGATTCACCAGTATTGAAGAACGCTCGAGATATTAGAGCGAGGCAATTTAAGATTAATGTTTTATTTATAATTTTCTATTAAAATACATTATTTGTTTTAATTCATTGACTTTTTTATCGTATACTTGTAGGGACTGGTTGAAACCCGCGATCCCGCGACGATGCGGTACGTGAATAAGTTCATGTACAATCATCTTTACCCAGACCAATAGGATTATGCGGAACCTGAGGTTAAGGATAACCTGCGAGGTCGTCCCAAGAAAACTAATTCAACTAAGCGTAAACCATCTGCTTTTGAGTACAACGAAAAATCGCGAGGTCGAAAATCGAGACGTACGACCAATTCTTCTCGTGGACAGACAAGTTCGTCTTCTCAACAGTCACAAGGGGATGAAGGTCATACATTTTTTTTTTTAAATACGGCTGAGCGTTAATTAAAGTATTTATATGATTATATAAATTGTGACGTGAAATTATTATGATGTTTATTGCAGAGTTTAGACCGACAAATATTTTTGGATTTTCATACTGGCAATGTATCCCCTGGCATATGTTGGACTACATAGTGAGTTACCTGAATGTGGAAGCGGATGGTAACTGCGGATTTCGGGTCATCGCGAGTCACATGTATGGTCATCAGAAGTACTGGCCAGATGCAAGAGAAAACATTGCGAAGGAGGTCAACAACCACCCTGAATTGTACGAGTACATCTATTTTAGAGATATCGAGGCCGGACTCCATCGCATAAGGTGGACCAGAGGCTCTTGTGGACCGACTCACTGGTTCGAAGTTCCGCAGGACCTCTATGCCGTTGCGACCATATTTAATGTGGTTGTCGTTCATTTGAGCTCTGGTTCAAACGGTGGGCAGCACGACTTATTCAGCACCACAGTGTTGCCTCTCACTGCACGATCATCGGCTAGAGGACCATGTCGTGAGATTGCCATTTGCCATCTTGGTACCGTAGAACACTACATTCGTTTAGATTTGACTGATGATTGTCCATTACCGCCTATTCATAGCATGTGGTTCCGTTACCGAGATCAATCGGTTGTGGGTTGGGAGCATCAGTACCAGTCTAGGTTGCAATTGTGGTATACTGTTCAAACAAAACGTTTTTGAATAAAAGAACGATATTATTCAGTTATGGTATGACGCTTCTCATTCAACTTAAGTTTAGCACATAAAAATAAATAAACGGATCAGTTCAACTTAAGTTTAGCAAAAAAAAAAAATCATTCAACTTAATGTTTTACAATAATAATTAAAAAAAAAAAAATCATTACATCATTATTGGGCATTGTCGTAATCCAACCTAAACTTAGCGAGCTGTTCTTCGACTTCCGCCGCCTCCGGACAGTCTGGAACAATCTGCTGCAAGGTCGACGTAATGCCCAAAAGACGGTCCACCCACTAAAAAAATAGAAGAATAAAAACATAAGACTAAAATTTATTAAAAAAAAAAAATTTGTAATGAGTTAACATTAATTAAAATTTAGTAACCAACTTACATAGGCGGTATTGACACGCGTTGGGACCTCGTCCTCGTCCGGCAGCTCCTCGCCCATGAGAGTCGGATGGGAAACCCGACTGTACCACTGCAGGTAATCCTCAGTCGCCTCCCCGCGATCCTGTGTGGTCTGGGTCAACATACTTGTGTTGACCGTCCCAGACATCGGGAACTGGGTCCAGAGGGATACTGCACCAGCCTCAGAATGCTCAACCTTGTAGTTCCTAGACTCCCAAAGCACGTACTGCACTGATTGGCGGGAATATAGGGGGAGGGACAGTCTGGACATACCCCAGCTGACGCAGACACCGCGAAGGCAAGTACGGCTCGACGACATCGCGGTATCGAATCCATCCGCTATAAAGAGTCCTCGGCTCTATCGCATCTGGGCTGGAGCTGCCGTATGGCAACCATTGCACCTGTTCACAATTGCATAAGAGAATTTATAAAAATAATTATGTTATTTTAAATAACGGGTAAGTAAATTTAAATAAAATAAATTCACGTACATCGGAGGCAGTGAGTCTGTCGAGGCGCCGACGGATGGCTGTGAGCCGATCGTCTGACCGTGGCGCATTCCCTACGCCCCACGAGCGTGATCGTGCGAGACAGTCAGGACCGATGGGTAGACGCCCTCGGGGTCGGAAATCGGGGAAATACTCATATATCCAAGACTGTAGAAGAGTCAAGCAGCCCGACATCTGGGCAGAGTCCCTCGGCTGGCAATACCTAGCTGTCTGTACATGTATGCCAGCGTAGCCGATCCCCATGAGTAACCCCAATCAAATCCAAGCCATCGAGCACCTCGTTCAGGAGCTTGGAGGTCACTCTACTACCACTCTTGTCGACGAACAATGTGGTAGCCAGCATCACCCACAGCCAGGCACCCGCCTCATCCCTAGCCGGCCGGTCTTTCCCCCTGAATGCCCCCGAAATGGCGGCTTCGGACACCGAACCACGCTGCCAGAACGAACTCATGAGTTCGCCCTTGGTGACCGAAAGTATCGACATGCAGAGCCCATGGCAGGCGTCCGAATCCGGGTCCTCAGCGACCACGACTCCCTCCACTGGAACGCCCAAAATGGCCCGGACGTCGTGCAGCATGATGCTCATCTCACCAAAAGGCATGTGAAACGAGTTCGTATCCGGCTGCCATCGCTCCACAAAAGCAGAAAGGAGTGGGGTGTCCAACTGGGTGTGCATGGAGTCGACCAAATGTGACAGCCCGGTCTGTTCGAGAAGGGCTCCAGCATCGGAAGACATCTCTTCACGCCAAGCCTTCAGATTATCGATCGCTCGCACTCTGTTGTGGCATTTCAGTAGCCCCCTCAAATTCCCATTCCACATGCGGGAGGCGACGTGCCCAAGAAAGCTAGGGATGACACTCCCATCAATGGGCCCACCGGGCACTGGGCCTCTAACGATCCAAGGTGCATCATCATCGGTCCTAGCTCGTTTGCTAGTACCTGCATTAAAATACAACATATCTGTATATATTGACTTGCTGGCAGATGCATTAAATAAAATATATTTAATAAAACATATTTTATTAGTTACGTTACATTTTACATTTTACGTTTTACGTTATTATTATAAGCATATATAATTTATAATTATTAATATTATTTTTTGTATTTATAATTAATTACAATTTATTCAACTTACCCTAAATTACAAAATAATTATACTGTAGTTGACGAGCAGGCCGATAATACTTTTCTAACAGTACCGATAATTTATGTTAAACAACAATAAATAAATAAATTATTTACCTGATGAGGATGCAGAAGGGCCAAAACGCCCCCTAGCCTGCCGTTGAGGAGCACGCTGTGTGGGACGAACAGCATGTACTGGACGAACATGCTGTACAACCGGCTGTACCGGACGAACTGGCTGTACAGTAGGACGAGGGTGGATAGGACCCGTAGGCTGTGCGTGGTCCTGATCATCTAAAGAGTCGTCCGAGTCATAGTCCTCTGGACCCGGCTCCCTCTCGCCGTACGACTCATCATCAGCATACCCCTGCTGACCATAAGGTAATGGTACGCGTGCGCGGGGGGG